TATTTTTTTTTAAATTACAATAAATAATTAAAATTAATTATATTATTGATTCTATATAAATTTGTATATAATATTTTGAATGCATAAATGCGAACGGAATGCGAAGCGTGTCGAGTTCAGAGTTTTTATATACTTTACAATTTGGAATACTTTTGGTCTATTACTTTCTGGAAATATAGTCAAAAACTCCTAAAAAGTGGTTCCTTGGGACTTGACTGGGGCCAATATACCGCGTATCACTTATCCTATATTTAAGACCTTTTAAAAGGAATTTAAAACAATATTTAATAGTATACATTTCTGTATACATTTAGCTATCTCCGATATCTGACTATATACGTCCACGAAATCAGCTTTTCGTGTATCCGTTTAAGATTTCACCGCGAGGTGATTTTCAGAGTAAGAAAATATTCGTGGTTGAATGGTAATTTTAGTATTTTTAACACAAGCGTTATGAGACATCTCAACAACCAAATCCAATCAAAAAGGTACGGTTCTTTCCTCTTCTAAAGTCTAGCCCTATGCAAATTTTCGTGAATTGGTCTATAATTGCGACCTATAGGTCAAGGGCAAAAAATTCAATTTTAGGTACATTTCATACTCTTAATATTATATTATTCTCTCTCTATCGGACCATAATAGCTACATGAAGCGTCATTATAAATCAAAATGGATCGACAGGAAGATAGCTGGATCGTTTCCGCTTGGCGAGGGTCTAGGACTATTATTTCGTGGTGTTACCAATATTTTGACTCAATCAAACTTATAAGTGTTGTAAAGTATAAAAGTATGGATACACTAAAACGTGTTCAATTAAGGTGTCCGTTTTTAGACCTTTCAACTTTACAACGAAGGCAATGTCGGCCCAACCTTTTTAGTACCTCCTTAAACAAAATTTCAAAATTTTGCAAAGCAAATGCAAATCTCAAATCTTTTTGGTGCTGGAAAGATTAGGTGTTTATGTAAAATCCGTTAAAAAAGGTTTAAATATATGTCCTATTTGCTTTAAATTTGGCACATCATAATAATTTTGTGCAAGAATTGAATATATCTGTCCAGACCACCCGTACTTTCCCCACAAAACTTCAAATTTCGAAAATGCATACGTATGTCTTATGAAAAATAATTCGGTTACCCGATATAACTCAAACGTTATCCTTGGAAATATTTATATCAGACTTCAGTAAGAGCGTACATGGAAAATATGACCCACCGTTTCCGTACCTCGCTCTATTAGGTTAAAGTTAAAGTTATTGTTGGAATTTTGCAATTTTTGGAAAAGTTTAACTTTGCTTTGTATTTTTGTGAGTTGTTATTAGTTTATTGTTTTATTATTTTCTACTATTCTTATATTTCCTATTTTCTACTATTCTTTAATGGTAATAGTAAACATTAACTGTGCCAATTATGAGTAATTCGAAATTCAGTCTGATCAAAACGCAATGCACGATTCTTTGTTTCGAATCTCATGCCATCCATCCATTATTGTATGGTGCGATGTGTGTTAGCTCCCTGTTCCAATTGTTTTTACTCGCTTTTGATGAGTAGCGATTAAAACCGTTTTGTTCTATTTGTATCATCATGCGTCGTTTCCCATCATAAGTGCATCCATCCATTTTCCAAGAAACGCACTCACATTTCGAACTACCTCTTCTTCATCAATTCTGCTTATCTCTCCGTTTCACATGAACTCCAGCATGATTTTTATGTAATACAATTTAGCGTAAACTCATCCGAAAGGGAATGCAGTTCAATGGCTGATGGTGAGGCCATGAAAAACAATGGAGAAGAGCATTGCATCTGCTATCTACCTTTATTAATTATTTGAACAATTCACAATTGGAATTTGGATTTCGAATGCTCTAATACAGCTCTTTAGATAGTATTATTTATTAATTGCAGCAAGTCATTCCAGGAGCAGGTTGTCCATTGAAATAAGAAGAAAAAAGTAGTGGAATACTTGCATTCGGAATACAAGAATAAGAATGATAAGGGAAAATTGCATGGATATATAATGCACTGAATTAGTGAGCGGGATAGATGCCAATGTCACACAGTACATATGTGCGGAAAAAAATTTGCTCTGTTTTTCCGACAACTTCAAATTTGTAAAAATAACTTAAAAGAAAAACAATATGTTATATTGAAGTTATTTGTATTATGTTTGCGTTAAGTTTGAGCATTAAATACAACTTCCATGGTAGAATCAAGGAGATAGTCTCATGCAGTCATACGATTACAATTGTTTTATTTGTCAAAATTGTGTAGTACTTTTTTAGCTACCATCATACAGCAGAAAAAAAAAATAAATATTTATCGCCGGCTATATATTTTTAGTTGTTACAGAAGTAGGATTGTAAATTTTCAATGCAAATATAATATAAAATAAATATAAAAACCAAGATGGTTATAGGGCTTGATTGCAGAACATTGAATGGTGTTTAAATATAAAATTTAGCTACAGTTGAAACAAGCCTGAACATCGACAATATTGCGCTTTGATTTTCATTTTCATTGTAAATGAGTTCCATACCGCCTTTTTATCGGATTGATATTCATTGCAGGAAACTAACGACTTTAGTTTCTGTTTTAGTGTCGAACTCAACCCTATGGGATATTTTAAAGATTTGGTAAACAATTTCTGCTGATTACTCAGAGAGTTTGTTGCCTAAAAATGAAGTTATAATAAATAGATCTTGGCGTTGCCATCTTTGATTTTACAAAAGAGACTACCTCTATTCTTGTGTCATGACAGTATCATAAGTAATTGTATATTTATATTATATTAGGTTGTATTCATGAAAAAAGGCTCATGCCTATAATTTGTTAAATCGTTTAATAAATATCATAGATGGCCTGTCAGAAATTGTCACGTATATGGCATACTTTTCCGACGTATCAAATATGCATCGAAAAGTCGCAAACGTAGACAAATAAAAAGAGTTTTTGACAGAGTTGTGGTAACTGAATATTTTTTAAGCTTATTATAATTCTTAATGTCCGCATGTCTATCATCAGAAAAATCGTTCTATGCATTTCTGTTTAGTAGCAGGAAATAACGCTTCTATAATAATCAATAAATTCAGTGGTTTTTATAAAAACAAGTGAAAAGGTCATTTGGATCGAATTTGGCATTTCTAAAAAACAATAAAATCCGTTAAAAATTCTGTTAAAATCTTAAAAATACCGAATGTAGCTGTAATATTAAAGTCTTGGACTTGCATAGGTAACTTTTGCTTTAAGCCGTTACAATATTCAGATGCAAAACTCAAATAAACAAATCGGTGAATAAGGTAGCTAAAATCATCAAAATATCGAATATCGGGAGGTACCGGTCTATGAAGACTATACGAAGACGTGGACATGCACAGACAATTTTCTGTCTTAGGTTGTAGTATCCATTACGAACTTCAAATATCAAATGAAATTTGAAACAATTCCGGTGAATAATGTCGTTAAAATCACCAAAATACCGAATATCGGGAGGTACCGTTATATAGAGGCTACACCAAAACGTGGACCTACATGGCCCATTTTCAATACCAAAAGTCCTGCAGACATAATATACCTTTGAGTAATATTTTATCAATCTACTTCATTTCGTTCGGAAGCTAGAATGATTTCCACAGATGGACAGACAAATAGACGGACAGACGGACGGACATCTCTAAAACGACATAGAATTTTATGCTGATCAAGAATATATATACTTTGTTGGGTCTAAAATGTGTATTTCGGGGTGTTACAAACGGAATGACAAACTTAATATACCCTCCATACTATGGTGGAGGGTACAATAACAACGGTCTTAAGGTTGGTTATTTTGCAACAACAAAACACAGGTGTTAAATGCTTATTCTATGGAAATCTGAAATGAAAACTTTAATAAAGACGACTAATGTCTAATAATATATATTATAAAGAAAATACTTTTTATTTTTGAGCTCTCTAATGCCTGATATGGAACGACCATCATTATTATCAGCAAGTTTTCAATATACGACCTAGACGTTTGTCAACATAATTGTGGGATGTAACAATATTTTAGAAATCAATGGCGTTTCATACTTTTTCTATGTTTTATACAGATATATGACGTTTCCGAAGTTTAAAACTTTTCGACAGTCGAAAACTTAAAAAAAAAACTATCAAACGAACCATCTCTGATAAAAGTGTATTATTTGTTAATTGTTGCTGATGAATGATTTGAAAATTCCATTTCAATTTTTTAATATCCTAATCTATTATCTAAATTACTTTACATTAGTTTAATTTAAAAATTTATTCGAAAATAATATTAAATTATATGTATATTGTATTTGATCAAGATTTTTCGGACCATCACTGTAAATTGTTATTGGCAATTTTATATTGGTCACACAAAACTTAATTCTTAATTCTTTGTCATGGTACTGCATACAAGCAATTTCAATCTGTAAACTTCATTTGAAATTTAAATCCTTTTTATGTTTTTTGTTTTTTACGATTCTATTCCACCACAAACACATCAAATACTCTATAAAGTGGAATAATCGTGTTTGGCTTTACAGAGATTTGCAATCACTTCCGGACACATTCCACTTTTCGTTTTGATTTGGGTGAGTGTGTGTGTGTGTCTGTGTTTTTTTCATTTTGTCATTTGAAATTATGATTTTGGATTTTTTGATAATAGGTATGCTGTTGTTTTATTTTCAATTTCAGTTTTATTATTGTCAAATATTTCCATTGTAATCGCTTTTCGGCATAAAGTCAACATTGTGTTTGTTGTTCGTTGTTAGAAAAGAAAAACAAAAAACCTCGCAAGGATAACAAAATGAATTCATGCAAAAATCAGAGGAAGTGACGTTTGAATTGGAATCAGTTTCAGTGTAATAAAGTGCATGCGTCAATGGGGCGAATGATACAGGCTTTCGTTCTGTCGTGCTGACGATGCGGATGATGATACCTCATTCTGTGCACTCAAAGTGGCGGACACACCGCTGTACAAATGTAATGCTTACCTGTTGGAAAATGTACACTTTTTCGTTGAGTTTGGAAATTGTTTTAGTTTTTATAAATATTCATTTTTTCGAACGATTATTTCCTTTACTTTTGTTTTATCCTCTGGAATGGAAACGCTATGCAAATTGTCATATGTTGCGGCGTAAATTTGCATTGGCGCGCTGCGTTTTTTATGAGTTTTATATTTTGCTTTATTTTCACACAAATCAAAAAATCAATGCAAATTCGGGTTTATTCATTCGAGCAATTTAACAAAAACAAACGAAAAACAAAACTCTGAAACAATCTAGCCAATTTGGTATATATTTTCTTGTTTTGTTGCAACATTCATGGCACTCATTATTTTTATATATTTTTTTCGAATACACCAGGTTATTCTAGAATTGTGAAAATATCCTTTCGTAATAGATGAAGTTGGAAACTTTACTCGATCTCAAACGACAGCAGAGGGTTCTGTGTCATTTTATCCGATGGTACGAACCAAACGCTTGCAGAGTAAATAACGAACTGAGACTTGTAGATTGTAGCCTAAAAGATTTTTAACCACTCTTCGGTTGGTGGTGGTATCTGTGTGCATCGGACCAAAAGCGAAAAGTCTTGAAAGCTACTGTTGCCGTTTGTCATCGCCGTTCTTCCTCCTTTGTTTTTTTTTTATTTCATGAGTCGCTTTACGACTAGATAACTTGTTACAACGTTACACACAAATGTATGTATGTCATATGGGCAGACCGAAAAGCCAGCCACTACCACAAGCAGAGGAAAGTGGTGTTAAGAAAGTGCAGCGTCAAGAGAGGGAGAGTCTTAAAATGGCCAAGATACACAATGTGGCTCAAAACGTTAACATACAGAACGAACTAAGATCAGCGGCAAAAAAGAAATGCTCGAAGAAACCGAGAAAGAGAGTAACAAGAAACGGCCATAAGAATAACAACTATCGTTTGTGTGCGGTTGTATGTTAATTGTTGGCACAAGCTGCGCAGACGCAAAAGAGCTATCCATTCATAAGTTTTCCAGAGTGTAAGAAAGAGAAAAAGCACAACACTTCAATAGTGGCTGGACACAATGGCTGAGAGAGAGTTGGGAGAAATGGAACGATTCTCCGGCATCGGTAAACCTATTGTGTGTATGTGTCTTTTTTTGGGTTTTTAGAAGACCGGCTTTTTACCACGGATGATAAAAATTCTTCAAATTTGATTCATGCTGTGTGTTGTGTTTACAGATCGAGTTAAGCCTCTTATTCCAGTTTGGCATTTGGTTACAAGTGTCTTCACGAGTAACACATACCAATCGTCTAAACTTTCAAAATGTAATTTTCGAAGTAATTCAGTAGCAATTTTAAGGTAGGTATTATCAAATGTTTACCTTAGTTTGTATCGAATTTATGATTGGGAAAAGGCGAATGTGTTAGTTTATACTTGATTCAAATTTATTTGACGCCTTTTTTAAATATGTATGTAGGTATATTCTCACGCCGATATATTCGCAGATGGGAGTATTTTGCTATTCTTAGGTAGGATGGCGTTATATAAATCAACACAAAATGATTAATATCAAATAAAACAAGTAAAAAGAAGCTAAGATCGACCGGACCGAACTTTTAATAGCCTTCACCATTTCAGAGGAAATTGAAAAATTTCAAAAAATCAAATCCGAAAACTACCACTTAAATGAAAACCCTTATATGGGGGCTATACGAAGACGTGGGCCTATATACAAAAGAGTTTGTCATAGACTGTAGTGCCCATTACGAACTTCAAATACGAAATTTGTTACAATTACGCTGAATAATGTCGCAAAAATCATGAAAATACTGAGTATCGGGAGGTACCGAAGACGTGGACCTGCACAGACAATTTTCTGTCTTAGGTTGTAGTACCCATTAGGATCTTACAGTAGGAAATTTGAAACAATTCCGGTGAATAATGTTGCTGAAATCATCAAAATACCGGCTATCGGGAGGTACCGTTATATGGGAGCTATACGAAGATGTGGACCTGCATATAAAAATTTTTATAATAGACTGTCACACCCAGTAGGATCTTCCAGTATGAAATTTGAAACGATTCTGGTGAATAATGTTTCTGAAATCATCAAAATACCGAATATGGGGAGGTACCGTTATATGCGGGCTATACGAGGACTCAGACCTACATACAAACATTTTTGTCATAAGCTGTAGTACCAATTACGAACTACAAATACGAAATTTTAAATAATGCCGCTAAAATCATAAAAATGTCGAATATTGGGAGGTACCGTTACATGTGGGCTATACGAAAACGTGGACCGATATGGCTCATTTATGAACTTAAAAATGTCTACTGGTAAACTATGCATGCATGCAAAATTTTAGCCTTCTATCTCAATTCGTTCGAAAGGTAGCGTGATTACAACAGGCAGACGGACAAACAGACATATAGACGGACAGACAGACAGACGGACATCCCTAGATCGTCTTAGAATTTTACGCTGATTCAGAATATATATACTTTGAAGGGTCTATTATGAATATTTCGAGGAGTTACAAACGGAATGACTAAGTTAATATACCATAGATGGTGGAGGGTATAAGAAGACACTGAAGTATCACCACAATGCGATGTAAAAAAAATGAATTAAAGAACAGATTGATTAGACTTTATATTCAAATGAAATAATAATTTATAAATATAAGAAAAAATCTCGGGATTGTTATTAGACAGGACAACAAGAAGAATTCTCAAAGCTTACATTTACTAACTCAGAAGACAGAGTCTAAATTCTGTCCATTACCATTTTTAATATCCAAATCCATATTTTCGATTTTAGAAACCGACTCTAAATGGCGAGTTGGTGGAATTATTTAATATGCACCTACATATTTCAATATTTCTTAATATAAATTGAAAATCAAAGCCGAAAGGGTCCTGGTCAAAACATTAGTTTCATCTATGTGTTGTGGAGCGGTTGGTTCTCAAAGTTTACTGGATTCCGAATCAACTAAGAAAGGCTTAAATAATTATCAATTGTTAATAAAACTTTGCAATAGTAGAAAAAAAGGTTACATCCATTAATTTTTATAACCTCCATCATTCTATGCTATTAATATACCCTATATGAGCTTTGCCATTAAGTTTGTAACTCCTCGAAATACTCATAAAAGACAATCTAAAGCATATATATTGTAATCAGTCGATTTAGAAATATCCGTCCGTCTGTCAAAGCCTTTGACAAAAATTTCGTGTGCAGGGTACGTCTTCGTATAGCCCACATATAAGTTTACATCTCTTTTTTTTCGGTATTTTTAAGATATTAGCGATGTTATTCACAACATTCAGGCATCCTATTTATTTCAGGTTATTGTTTTTATGTTGACCACAGCCGGAAATCCGGACTCACTTAGGTATGAGGTAGAAAAGGGGAGGAAGACTTTCGCAGCGAGAGCCAGTGCTGTATCGTCCGATAAATCAATAAGCTCCTCATTTACTTTGGTCCATATATAAACTAGTTATTTCTTAACGGCGATAAATGCGAGTCAATTGCAAAAAGTATTTTTATCTTAATCTGAAATTTGTTCTCTTCTATTATTGATACTTCATCTCGGAATGGACCATAAAAGATTTATGATCATTTCTTCACACAACTTCTGAAACAAAAGTTCTGTTAACTTCTTGTTTTAATGTAATTTTCAATTATTACAGCTTCCAACAATTTTCCTTTTATGTAAAAATCAATTGAACTGAAAATGTCTTTGTTTATTCCTCGACTAATTTTATTGCCTTATATCACTCACAGAAACAACTAGGTGAGTCAGGCCATGAACGTCGATAGACTCGCTCAGTTTATTGTGTAGTATGTGGTAATAGTCGTCGCGATCCATATTTTGAGAAATACTGGTGTGGGCATCACATCTAATGCAATTCTGACACGTTTGAATGAATAGGATATACAACTTTTGTATACCCTTTTTTACGCAGAACATTGTGTACAGGGTTGCCCATATTCGACGGACCTTTGGGCCCTTTGGGCCCATTCCAATCGACGAGGCTTGTCCGCAGGCAACATTCTTTGCGTCAATTGAATTTTGTACGGGAACAAATGCAAATCAATGCGAATAATCCGTTGTAAAGTGGACCGAGCCATGCCCAACTGCTGAGAACGGCGTTTTTGGGATGTTCTTGGGGACCTCTCAACATTGGCTCGTACGGCAGCGATATTCTCGGCCGATCGCCTTGGTCGACTTTTATATGGTCTCTTCGGATTAGAAAGAGCCTTTCCAGTCGAAAATTTTTCCTATAAACGCTTAATGGTGTTCTTAGAAGGCGCACTTCTCACATTTTTTAATGTTTTAAAAGCACGTTGAGTTTTCACAATAGACTTCTTCTGTTGAATGTAAATTTCAACTATTTCAGAGCGCTGTGTATTGGTTCATGGTAAAAATCTGCTTGGACTGACGCTTCAAACGCGGTATGTCATTAAGCGATGTGACATCTCTGTCAAAAGTTATGGCGTTGCCAGATGGGTCCGTCGAATATGGGCAACCCTGTATATGATTTTCCGGTCACAAATTTGCTCAAATAAAATTAGGATGCAGCATCACCATACCACCGATATTTGAGCAAAACTAACTGGACGGTGTATATTATTTTATGTCTTTGAGGAGGTTTAATAGACAAAACAATTAACAATTCGGATGGGCCTGGGTTGCCCTCTTGCCTCGTCAGTGGAAATTTTACATATTACAACATCAACGTGAATTTCACTGAGATAAGACGAAACATCAAATTCAAATCTTACTTTGCAATTTTCTACAAGGATATATTTTGCCTACTATTTTAAAGTAATTTTGCATAAATATGATTTAAATCCGGTGCGAAATTTGTATGGGTCTGATAAGTTTCTGAATAACGAAGACAATGCTGAAATATGTACAGCCTGATGTAATAGGAGAGGTGCGAGGTGTATAAATTAAGAGCTACCGTTAAATATATCGAAGCTATATAAAATGGACACCGATATTTCCAACACCAATCACACATGTAAGATTCTTTGTTAAATTAATAAAAGTGTGTATGCAAATTTATCTACATTGAAACTTTCCAAAAAGTACACTTATTTAAGAAATTTCAAACTTTTTTCAATCATCTGTGAATCGCAACTCCCATCTTGGCTGTAAATACTTCCTAATCTGCCAAAAACAAAAAAATATTCCTATATGCGAATCGTTACATTCATTTAATAAAAATCAACTTTAAATGCCGGTTAAGGAAAACAGCTTTACAGTCTCCAAGGAGACTCACGCCAAACACCCAAACTGATTTGAGTACTGGTTTGTTATCCGGCAAAGGTTTGCAGCGAAATATCACATCAACATCGGCTCAGCAAGAACACTCGAAAACAAATATCGCAACGAACATTAATTAGATGGCATGTCCTTGAGCCACAGCAGACTCAAGCACACGTCCATAGACATAAATGACGGGTGGACGCGTGCCGACCGGTAGGTAAACCAAAGCCCATTAA